GTTCGCCAGCATACAAGCGCCTGCAGCGGACAACCCTGGGACTGGCGCCAGTCTTGAGCACTGATAAAAATGCTGCCTGCACCCCTGCCTTGCCCAAAAACATTGGTCACAGCCTGCTGTGCGAGGCCTGCCCACGGGTATGCGCATGCTGCTAGACTTGGGCGAGTTGGAGAGTGGTGCGCCCCGTGTTATGTGCTTGAAGAAGGAGTACGGCAATGGCAGGCGTGGCAAACGTGCAGCACGCGAGCTGCTGCGCCTCACAGACAGCCTCATCATCATGGAGGAGGTGTCGGCAGGCAGCGGCGGCCTGGGCATGCTGCTGCACGGTCGCTATGGCCGCGGCTTCACAGTCAGCATTGACTTAGCACTGCCAGACCGTGGTCACCGTGCCACCGTGGGCGATGTGACCAGGACGCCAGCGGCCATCTTCTTCAGCGACAGCAGGCACACCCCCAGCAGCCGCCGCCGCCCCACGAGCTCTTACGCCACCGACACCTCAGGCGTCCCGCTGGGCGGGCGCGGGGGCGGCGGTTCGTTTGCAGCCAATGCAGTGGCACGAATGGATGCGGCGACCAAGCAGCAGCAGCAGCAGCAGCAAACGGCACAGGAGTCCCGGCAGGTGCAGCAGGCAGGACAGCAGGCAGCCGTGCCGCAGTTGCACTGCTACTGGTGCGGCGCCCTGCAGGCTGGGCCAGAGCCCAAGATCCCTGGCAGCTATGTAGGTAGCTGGAAGAGCTTTGTGTGGGACGGGCAGAAGCGGCGTTGCTGCCGCTGCTGCCGCACCCAGGCTGGCAAGCAGCAGATGGGTGGCGCACGTCCCACGGCCGCGCTGTGCCCAAACGGCTGCGCAGGCTGCAACTGGTGAGCACCAGTTGCAGCTAGCCCAGCATCACCCCGAGACGGTCTTGTCTTTTGTTCTGTGCGCTTTCATTGCCACACTCAATGCAATGCCACCGCTGAAACGAGGTGCAACGCTTGGAGCTGGAGCCGCTGCCGCCCTCCCAGCACCACCGCACCGCGAGGAAGCACGCGGAGCAGCGGGCAGCGTGGAAGGGCAGGCGGAGGCGGCGGCGCCAGCAGGCGCACGCACCAGTAGAAGTGGCGCCAGGCGTAGCGCTCGGTCACATACTCCTTGCTCTTGAACGACTGCATGAGCTTGATGACCTCCAGGTTGGGCACATCAATCTCGGGGTGCTTGGGCAGGTTGAAGTCCTTCTCCGCGTACAGCACGCCCTCTGCACACATCGGGCGAGCGGGTGTAAAGGCGAGGATGCTGCGTGGAGCGCAGCGGCAGGCAGAGCAGAGCACGCAAGCGACAGGCAGGGGAAGGCAGCGTGCCAGGCTTCTTTGGCACGGGCGACCGGGGGGCGGGGGCTGCTGCCGCTAGCAAGCAGGCGCATGTGGTGATCGTCAACACAACGCTGCGCATTGCAGGCTCTCGGGCACCCAAATGGATATGCTTCATGCTGCATGCATGCTGCAGCAGAAAACGGCACCCTGCCCAAGCAGCACGGCACCATGCGCAAAAGCAGCACGAGCCCTAGCCGAAGCAGCACGGCACCCGCACCTTTGAAGAGGTACTTGTAGACCTCGCGCCGGTTCTTCTTGGAGATCAGCATGGTGACTGCTGGCTAGTTATTTCGCGTTCGGTCGAGCCGAACTCGATTCCCCCAGTTCTGCAGGCGGTGGCGGCAGGACATGCCGCTGGTCATTGCGCAGCTGGAGCGCAGCGTAACTCCGCCATTAGCGAAATTAATGATTTCTATGCACTGCTGCACACTGGGCTCCTGATGCGCTGCTGCCCAACCCCTCTCCCATGCCGCCTCGCTGCCCACGAAGCGGCACTCTGTGAGGCAGCCCATTTGGGGCCTTCAGGCCGGCCGGCCAGCCAGCCAGCCAGCCACATGGCCGCCGCACGCAGTCATGCAAATGTGGAGAGCAAGCAAGCTCCGCACCTGCTCCTTGGGCAGAGTGAGAGAATGGTGCCGGAAGAGGGCGCAGCAGGCTCCAGCGCCGTGCTTGGGCGCGGCGTTCGCCACGCCAGGGACGAAGTACTGCCGGGCCCTCAAAGCCATCCAGAGCAGCGCGCCGGCCATCTGTTGCGTGATTTTAGAGTCCAGTGGGTCCACTTGAGCCTTCACCTCGCAACAAGCCCGCTCGCCACCTTGATCGGGAAAGCTTCACACACAGGCTTCTGCAACGAGGCACATCGCACCTGAACAGCTGAAGCAGTCATGGCTCGCACGCGCAGGGTCCGTTGCGCATGCATGTTGCCGCCGCCAGCCAGCCGACCTGTCGCCGCCGCCAGCCAGCGGCCCTGTCGCCGGCGCTGCTCCTACGTAGTACCTCTCCCTTCATCGGTGTGGTGGCGGTGCAGAGAAAGAAACGGACGCACATGCCGGATGTTGAGGACCCTGCCAAAAAGGGACAGCCCAAGTCGTTTGTGTTTCGGCGTGGCCGCCACGGTGCCATCCTGCGCGACCTTGAGCGCGACCTCCGTAAGGTGTGCGAGAGGGTGTGGTCGGGAAGGGGATCGTGTTCCTGGGGCGCCTGCAATGCTGGTTACCCCATGTCAATACTGCAAGGGCCTTGGCAAACAGTGAGCTGAGTGCTTCGCTGCCGTTGGCCGCACTTTCTACGTCACCAGCTCATGGCCCCCAACACGGCGGCGGCATTGAAGGAGAGCCGCCGTAATCAGATCAAGGACTTTTTGAACGTGGCTGGGCCGCTGGGCGTCACCCATTTCCTCATCCTGACTGCCACCCACAATGCGTCCTACCTGCGCATCGCAAAGTGAGCGCCGCAGGGAGGTTGGGCTTAGCACCTTGCGGCGGCACATTGTTACGGTAATACATTAATGCTGCTGAACCCTGGCGCTGCTCACTGGCCCCCCCTGCCTGGGACCTCCTGCTGCAGGACCCCACGTGGCCCCACGCTGACCATGCGCATCCACTCCTACTCGCTCATTCGCGATGTGGTGGGCGCTCAGCAGCGTCCCCGCACCCCGCAGGCCATGTGGCTTGGCCCGCCGTTGGTGGTGATGAACAACTTTGGCAGCGAAGAGCAGATGAAGTTGGCGGCGGTGACCTTCCAGAACCTGTTCCCCGCCATCAACGTGCAGACCACGCGCCTCAGCGCGTGCCAGGTGGGCCGTTAGGCGTTGGCAGTTGGGCCAGTAGGCAGGCAGGAGGTGGGAGGTACGGGCTGGGGGTCTTTTCCTGTTCACCCACCCTCCTTTACGCTTTCTTGCAGCGCGTTCTGCTGCTGGACTACAGCAAAGAGAGTGGACGCATCAGCATGCGCCACTACTCCATCGCTGTGGCGCCCTCGGGGGTTAGGTGCGCTTCACGGCTGACGTGCGCGCTGCCAAGATCTCCCAGGCATGGTGAAAACCCGATGCTGCCCCGCTGTACTCACACTCCTTGGCATGTGTATATTGCTGCAGCAAGAACCTGAAGCAGCTTCTGGCGCGCAAGGATCTTCCCGACATGGGGCGCATGGCCGACGTGGCGGAATTCCTAACCCGCTCTGGATATGGCTCTGTGAGTGGCAATGCGATGCTGACGCATCAACCATTGCTGACACGACTGCACCCTGGCTCTTGCACCCTGGCCAGTGCCAGGGGTGTCCCTAAGGCTTGTCAATGGTTGATTGACTGGCTTCCTGGGCGTGGTGTGGCACAGGAGAGCGAGGGGGAGGAGGCGGAGCAGTCGCGGGTGGAGTTGCCGGAAGAGGCTGGGGCCAAGGCACAGGCGCGCCAGTCACGTATCCGGCTCTACGAGGTTGGGTGGCAGGCAGCTGTGCATCCCACTGCTGGACTCTACAAGTTGCAGCCACCTGACCGGCGCGCTGCTGCTTTGCTTATGCTGAACTCCCCATTCCTCTGCCTCCTTCCCACTTTCCGTGCCATGCCTGAATGGAGCAGGTTGGCCCCCGCCTTGAGCTGGAGATAGTGAAGGTGGAGGAGGGCCTGTGCGACGGACGCGTGCTTTTCCACAAGTACCAGCAGCGCAGCGCAACGGAGAAGGCGCTGCAGCAGGCAGAGTGGGATGAGAAGGCAGCTCTGCGTGATCAGCGGCGGCGGCAACAGGTTGGATGTGCCGCAGCAGGGCTCCCAGCTTGCAGCAGAGCTCCAAGCTTGCAGCAGGGTTCAGGCTTGGCGGCTGGGCTGTTCTTGAGGCAGCACGCAGTATGCAGGGCACATCCTGAATGCAGCAACAACTGGACGCCTCCGTCATCCTGTGGAATCCCCTGATTCATCGCTGCAGGAGGAGAATGTGCGGCGGAAGCAAGCTGAGCTGAAGCGTAAGGCGGGGGAGGCTGCGGCAGCGCAGGCTGGCACCAAGCGGCAGAAGCAGTGGTGGGAGGCGCCGCAGGAGCGCGATGAAGGAGAGGAGGGGGCAGCTGAGGATGACGACGACGTTGCCTGGTACCGAAAAGAGGTGAGTGCAGGCATCTTTGTGTCGGGGTAGTGACCGCCCTAGACATTGTGGCTGCAGCTGCTCGCTGTACGCGGTGGCTGGTGATATACTGCCTCGCACGTGCCTGCAGCCAATGCTTGACTCTGCTGCTGCCTGGCAAATACAGGTTGGTGAGGATCCAGCGGACACAGTGGGCCTCAAGGGCAGCGGCAGCAACAGGGGCAAGCGGCAAGGCAACAGCTTCAAGCCGAGCAAAAAGGCACAGCAGCAGCAGCACGATTGCAGGCGCAATGCCGGTGGTGGCACGAGAGGGCTTAAGACCGACAGAGTCCCTAAGATGGTGGTGAAAGTGCCGAAAAAGAATGAGGGATGAATCATGAAAGCCGTTCATGAATAGACCCGCTTGCATGACATGTCTTTGCATGAGATGTCTTTTGCAGCAAGATGGTGGTCATGAAAAAGCATGGTGGCTGCAAGGGACAAACATAGGGACAAACATGAGGAAAACAGTATACTGTACTCGCTACTTTCAATTTTTCACATTGCCTGCTTTGTGTGCAGTGAACAGCATGCGCGCCGGCGATGCTGCATGGATCACATGCTGCTTGGGCAGTCCCCAGGGACCTTCTCTGCCGCATCACAACCGGCTCCAGACGACTGCAGAAAGATGCTGCCTGCCAGCTGCCACGCCACCGCGCAAAACCCGGCAAAGAGCAGCGCTGCGCTGGCTGCCAACATAGCCAAATCGGTGCCCTTGGCTGCTGCGCAGCTCTCGCAACGCGGCCGGCGGCAGTGCCTGCGATCAGGGGCAGCAGGCAAGCACAAACACCAACCGTAGAGTAGCAGCTACGGCCCAAAGCACCAATCAAGCCAACCCTCGCATCCCATATGCCTCGAGCACAGGACGACTCACTTGCGATAAAAGCGGCGCCTAGCAGCAGCTTCTATAACAAACTGCATCGCAAGAGGCAACGCATAACCCACACAGGCCAGCACATACATTGCCATCTGGCGGCAGGCGCAGGGACTGGCAATGTATGTGCCGCCCGCTGAGCTGTGGTCCAGGCAACTGCTGCCGCCTGCACAGCAGCACATTGCGGGTTGTTGCATCAGCAGAAAAGGAGGCAGCGTACTTAGCTTTCCTGCCTGATGCAGTTCAACTCGAAAGTGGTTGGCTGCGTGTGCCAAATGGGCCAGTGCCAACAAGTACGGGAAGGCGGCCCCCTCGGGCCAATGAAAAATGGGGCTAACCCCCGATTGTCCCTGACGGCCGCAGGCGGCTCGGGCGGCATGCCGCCAGGCATTGCAGTTTGCAATCCTGGGCATGGGTCGCAGCACAAAGTTTGCCGTGCAAAGTCTCTGGAAACCCGGGCAAAGGCAAACGACAGGGCAGACTCGAAATTTGGAAATACAGCTCAGCTGGCAGCTGTGCGTTCGGCCTTCGCGGCGAGTGTAAGAGGGTCTTATGCCACTTTTGAGGGACCCAACACCCAAAGAGGCTCCAGAAACACACAGCAGAGGCGGGGTTTCGGAACGGTTGCCGGCCATGCGTGCTGGTTTAACTGCACATGCACCTTTTAACCGCCCAGCCTGCTGCACTCTAGATCGCTCCGGGCTGAGGTGGAGATCAGATGTGCAAGAGCAGTCAACGACAAAATGCACATAGACGCCAGTAGGGGGGTCCCAAACGCATGAGCTGGACAGGAGCGTGACATACGGGTAACCACAGAGGGGCACCGCCCCGGGGGCACGCTCCAAAAAACAGAAGCACCTCCCTTCCCACCAACTCGCCTGTGGTTTGCTGGCTGGGTGTCGGCGCTAGCATGGCGAGGACCCGGGCCATACGAGTGGCAGAGGCGTAGTGCTGCTGCGCCTCTGCTCCAGTGAAAGCAGGGGAACTGCAGACTACCGCCAGGCTCAGCCGTGCCGCATCTGCCACGCTGACTAAATGGACCCACATAAACCACTGTTGCGGGGTGAAGGGGCAACAAAGTACATTGTTTTTGCAAAAGCTTGATTGCCACCCAATGAGCATGCACACATTCTGCACATGCAGTGAGTAGCGAAACATGCTGCCCTCTTGTTTCCCGCCCATGCTTGCCTTGAAGGGCAGCCTCGCCAGCCACGGCAGCGTGTTGACCCCCAAAGCGCGGGTGAAGAGCAGGAACTGGGTGAGCAGAAAGAAAGGAAGGGAAGAAAGAAGGCATGAGAGGTCAGGTTGTGCCACGGGGAGTTAGGATGGAGCGTATCCGGGGCGCCAGCGGTGAGGCATGATCAGTAGTCAACCAACACACCCATCCTGCCAGCCCGTCCTTGGCGGCCTGCTTCAACATGCCCTACCCATCCAAACACACCTGGGGCCAACCACCCCAGTGGTCCGTTGTTGAAGAAGGCTGGACTGCCAGCCGTGGCAACGCCGCGCTGGCCAGGCGGCAGCCCGCCACGATGAAGGTGCGGCGTGGCCAGTACCAGTTCCAGGCCAGGCAGGCCAGCCAGGCGGGGCCAACCCGCATGGCAACCTCCACAAGCACCGCTGCCAGCTGGGAGCGCCAGTGCTCACGCTGCAGGCTGCTAGGGAGCGCCAGCAGCAACAGCACGGATAGGCTGACGCCTGCCCACCTGCAATGATTGGGCAGCGAGCACAGATGCAGCAATTGTTGAGGAGATTGTCAGGCGATGTGCATGCACTTTGTCTCGGGCATTGTGTAGGGGTGGAGGGCCAGGGTAGCCCCGCACCCCGCCAAGCAGCTGCGGCATGATGAGCTTGACTGGAGCAACACATGGGTGCCGCGCCGCATGGGTGGCCACTTACAGGTCCCACTGGCTGTGACTGGCGGCCTGACTCTTGCAAAAGGCTGCTGCCATGGCAGCCCTGTGTGTGGCACGCTCCAGCTGCTGCCGGTCTCGCTGGTCTGCCGACGGGCCCCACGTCGGCGCGCCGTCCCGGCCGCTGAATCCACCCTGCTGCGACATGTGGCTGGCCGCGCTGCTGCTGCTGCTGCTGCCTCCACTTGCTGGAGCTGCCTTGGCCGCTAGACGAGTTCCGTGCGTCTCGGGTCGAGAGCAGGTCTAGTTGCAAGCTCAGGCTTCAGGCACGCCTCGCGCTGGGTGATACGGTGGCAGGGGTTAGCAGGAAACGATGCGGCAAGGGGCCCCTGGGGCTCCTTGCTCCAGACGCTGGACATGATGGGCCCATGTGTTGCAACACATGACATGGCCGACCTGATGGGGTATTGGCGCTTTAGTCTTACAGCAGCGCTTGACTAGACACGGGTGGATCATTGGACTTGAATCACTGAACGCCAGAAACCGCCCCCTGGCCCCCTTGCCGTTGACCACCCTCCCGCCACTGCCGGCAGCTGCGCTCCATGCACTTGATGGGCACTTCAGCTGTCGGAACGGCGGACACCAGCGACGACAGGTAGACGGGGCAGCGGTGGCGGTCAGAGGCGGCGCGCTGGAGATGGCCCCTGCGCCACCGACTTCTCGGTGAACCCGCTTCCTCCCTTTGCCTTCCTGCCTGCCCGGCGTGTTGTGCAGCTATGACAGCGACGAGGAGCGATACAGGGCGCGGCACCAGGCGGCGCACCGTGGCGCTGCGCTGCGTGCTGAGCAGAATGCGCAGGCGCACCTGCTGCAAGCATACCGTGCTCGTCAGCAGCAGCGTCAGCAGCTGGAGCAGGCCATGCTCATGGCAAAGCTGCGGGAGCAGCAGGGGATAGCAGGGGGGGAGTGGGTAGATGGAGACACCAGCAGCAAGGGGTGGCAGGGTGAGCACGGCTGGAGGGACGGAGGCAGCAGCAGCGCCAGTGCAGGTGTGCTGCGCGTGCTCCAGCAGCACGAAAGCCGCTGGGAGGCATTGCAACTTCAAGCAGCTGCACTCATAGAGGCCAGCAGGAATCATCGGGGGAGCAACAGCACCTGCGCCAGCAGTAGAGGAGGGCTGACAGTTGCAGATGTGCCCTGGCCGCCAATGCAGTGTTCTGAGTACTTGCACGGCCTGGCCGCCCTGGACCAGCAACAGCAGCAGCACATAAACTTAGAGCAGCAACTGCAGCACAGGCGCGCAGCGCGCAGCGCCTACGCGCGTGCCTGTCGCCGCTGGCATCCAGACAAGTTCGTTGCTCGCTGGGGGATGCTCCTGGCCGCGGCAGACCGCTCCGCAATCCTGCTGCGCGTGCAGCAGCTGTCCCAGGGAATCAACGAGGCCTGGGAGGCACAGCAGCGGGAGTGGGAAGGAGACAAGCAGGGCTAGAGAGGGGACAAATTGGTTTCGGCATCACACTGACTGTTTTGACAAGGTTCTAAGAGTTCCCCACGCTCTCAATCTCTATGTTTACAATGCAAGATCATTGTGGGAAAAAGCCAGAAGGAAGAGAACACCAGCAGCCGTCCACAAGTTGCTCAATCGCCACCCTCAGGGCTGGCAGTGGCCAGCGAGCGCCGGCTGAAGGTGCGTGTCCGGCCCAACCGATTGAGGTTAGACGAGTAGCTCGCCTCCCGGTGCACCACCGCCATGCCGCTCCCAGCACTGCCAGCAGCACTGCCTGCAGAACCCAACGCCGCCCATGACTGGCACCGCGGGCGCGCTGCGCTGCCACCGTCAGCCAACGCTTCCACGGCCCCAGGCTGCAAGATGCCGGGGTTTGTAGCCCACCACACATTATGGCCGCTGGGCGGCGGCGTGCCGCTCCTGCTGCTGAGTGGTGGTGAGTAGACCAGACCCGCCAGTCCGCTTACCCCTGTAGGCGACCTGTCTGCCTGGATTGCCAAGTCCAGCAGCTCAGCAGAGCCCTTTGCTGCAAGTTTGTTGAAGGTGCCACGGCGTCCGGCCCAAGCGCTGCCATGCCATGCTGCAATCGCTATATATAGAAACAGTGCTGCGGTTGCACCTTCAGCAAGCAGCCAAAGCGCGCCTGGGCGCCCAATGCCAAATAGCACCCAGCTTCGGCTGCAGGGTGGGTTTACAAAGCCAAAAGTGGGGTGGATCGGCAGAAAGGCAGTGTGTGCAGGCGCTGATGGTGTATCCCTCAGCCCAGTGTAACTTACCTTAAGAGCACGCCTTCACCCTTGCTGTCTTGGCCCAATCCTGCCAACCGATAGCCCTCAGCCAGGGCTGCACCCAGTGTCCAGCCCACCTCCCCGCCACCTATCTGCAGCTGCTCATCATTTAGCAGCAGGCCCTGCCGTACAAGGACTGCAATATACGGGGCCCTGCAGCACGTGAGTGAAAAAGAACGCACCATGTAAGGCGGGCGGGCAAAGTGTCCCTTTCCAGACCTGTGCCACTGGCTGTGGGCAAAGTGCAGGTGCAGGATTCAGCCATGACCCACCGAAAGCAGTAATTCTCCAGCATCAGCTCCCCTGGCCTGTCCTGTTGCGCCTGCGCCCAGGACTTGGCGCAGAATTGCTGCCCTGCCTGCAGTGCAATAGTGGAAACCCCAAAATAAACCAAAAAACAAGATGCAACAATAGCTTTGACGTCGAACCCCCACTGCGGCACACGACTTGCCCACCTCCTCCAAAGCTGCGGCGCTCGCATTGTGGGTCAGTCGGAAGAATTTGTACACAACGAAGAAGCCGGTGAGCGCCACAAAGCGGTGACCGGCAGAGGAGGGCTGCGTGCCACAAAGGAGGAAGCAGGTGAGGCACATCTCCGGTCTGCCCCAGAGAGGGAGAAAGAGACATGCCATGCTGCTGGTTAAAGCATCCTGGGCGAGTTTTGCTTCCTTCCAGGAATGCCAGATCCTAGGCACCTGTGGTGTCCCCAGAGCACAGGGTGGGGCGGAACATGGCACACTCGCGTTGACAACGGCCTGCGCCAACTGCTGACAGGCGGCGTAGTCAGAACTGCAGCACTGGGGATTGATCAGGCATGCATGAACCTCTACTTAGTGGACTGCGTGCCAATAATTTTGATCGGCGGTACGCCTGTCTATGCATGAACGGATCAAAACACACATGCCTGCATCTTCTGTAATCTGTTTGTGAAGATTGCACCCCTGGCACGAACCTCACCTGCCCACCAGCACCACCCTCGGGGGGTCGGGCATTGCGATGCCGTCCTGCCGCAGGCGGCTGTACTGCTGGCGATACCCTTCATGTAGGCAGGGATGCAATAACTCCACCTCGTGCCCCAACGCCCGCCCTTCCTGCTTCTGCTGATGCTCAGCTTTGCCGGTGGGTGGCTCGACACTTGATAGCAGCCGCCGAAGCAGCCCCAGGGGTGCTTGTAGCCGACGTCCGCTGCGAACAACCGCTGGCTGGCCGGCCAGTGCCGTTGCGGTGCCGTTGGCAACTGTAGCTGTGGCCTGCTCCAGGGCTGTTGATGCTGATGATGCCACAACAGCCGCCTTCTCGGCAGCACTCCTACGGTCAGCATTGCTGTTGTTGAAGCTACCGCCTGCTGCGGCAGCGCTGTTGCTGCTGCCTTTACTGGCTGCTGCGCGTGTCAAATTGCTGTCAGCGCCAGCATACTTGGTGCTCTCCACTCTACTGCCACTGCGGTGCTGCTGTTGACCATGCCGCTGCACTGTGCCAGCAGCTGATTGCTTTTGCGCCAGCAGGATGCTGACAGACCGGTCAAAGGCATCGTTCAGGCCATAATGATGGTGCACGTGGGCATAGAGCTGATGGGAAGCGCCCAGCACAGTGGCATTCACTGCGAAGATGGCAGGCATGGTCGGCAGGCGAGCACTGCTGGGAGGGCCAAGGGCCCGACGCCAAACAGGTGGTCAAGGCAGCAGCCGGCGCCTACCTGCATCCTCTGGCCACGGCACGCTGTGGGCTGCAAAGGTGACTTCCAGTGAAGAGCCGCCCAGGTCCAGTGCGCCCAACGTGTCGGCACCAGTGTTGTCACGCCGCAGCGTGCCTGTACACAGCCAAGGCCAGCAGGCAGCGCAGGCATGGCATGCTGCGGCTGGCACTCGCAGAACACACGTGCGGCCTCTTGGAGGCCCCACCCTTAAGGACTGTTTGGCAAGTGGATATAAAACTGGGGCTGTCCGCACTTGACTGCCCCGTCTTGCCCACCTTCCATGTAATTCAGGGCGACCCAACCGTACACCCCCTCATCCACGCCTGGGTCGAGGGATGGGCACATGCGGTGGTACAGTAAGGCAAAACATGTTGCAGGGAGCCTCTCCGGCGCTGCCCCACACACGCCACCTCACAGAAGGCGTGGCCTTAGTGGAGCAATCAGCTCACCGCTGATGATGCGAGCCCAGGGCGGGCTGAAACGGAAGACGCTGTGCTGCAGAACATCACGTACGCCCTCCAGCAGGCCCTCCTGCTGCGCCGCGCTGCAGTACAGCATCACCACGACCGCATTGGGGCAGGTGCATTCACAGGCAAAGAGAGCATGGTTGCGAGCATTAACCGTCAAGGTTGCTGCCTGTACGGCACATGAACCATCCCACCTCAGCCTGCGTAGCCCAGCAGTGCCAAACAGGAACATGGGCGTCTGCTTCCACTGCCATCGTGGCACGACAGCCTCTGCCCACTCCAGCAGTGGGCCTGCAGGCGCAAGGCACCAGCAAGATGCGAGCTGGCATGTCGGCCTTGGTCAATGGGCTGCAGAATCGGGACGACAAAGTAAATTCTAGAAGATGAAATACTAGCCGCAGCTGGCCGCAGGTCCCAACCAATTGAGTCAGCACGCACCTAGCGCCTTGGCCTGCAAACCCTGCCCATCTCCAACGAACTGGTCCAGCCCCGGCTCCGTCTCCACACGCTGGTAGGCACGCCTGCCGGGCATGGCTCGGCGTGGTACCTTGTGGGCAGCGGCGCTGGAGGGTACCGCTGCCAGAAGCGGCGCGACGCCAGCACCGCTGCCGTCGTGCCATGTGTAAGCATACATGCGAGTGCCGCTGCTGCCGGCGTCGATCACCAGCACATAGCGGGGCTCAGCACTGCCGCCATGCAGAATTAGGAGCAAAGCACCCGTGGCCACAGCCGCCACCGCTGCCACGCTCAGGAGCAGCAGGCGACGGCGCCCCATTCTACAAGCTGTGTGCAGTAGCAAGCCCTGCTTCAGGTGGTGCAAGCCCTGCTTCAAGTGGTTCGCGACGGGGCAGGAGGAGGGAAGCGGTGGTGTTGTAGTGAGGCAGCAGGCACGTCAACAGCGGGACCTCCTGCGCGCTCGTGCCGTCTCGCCGCGCCGGCGCCTAGCTGCCACGGCACATGACTGGTGGCGAGGTCGGGCTCCACACATTGCCTCAGCGACACCAGCTTGCCTGTGGGAGCCTGCCCAGCGGCAAGCGGGGTATTTTTCCCGACATGAGTTCCAAGCGGACACCGCACCCGGCTCCGTCAATGTAAGCATCGCCCATTGATGCCTTGCCACTATCCAGCCATTTATGATCGCGTCGGTTCATGCCACGCGAAAACTAGAAAGCCACCTCATGTGCGTTTCAAACGCACTTGGCCGCATTGGATCTCATTGTTGCCGCGCTTCACATGCAGCGGTAGTGGCTGGGGGCAGCCAAGCGCTGAGCAGACGCGGGCCCGATGGCGTCACCAGACGCTGGCACGCAGCTTAAAGAGGGTGTGGCCCCCGCAGTAGCGGGTAGCGATGAGGAGAATGCAGATCCCACGAAGGGCAACCTGCTCAAGCTGTGGCAGCAGGGCACGGAGGGCATCGCCACGCACAGGTGTGGCGCCCTCGAGACAGGGCCCGCCATTGCACCATTGCACCCGCAGATTGGCGACAGGGCGGCTCACGGCACCTGGGTGGTGACCAGTGGTGCCGGCGTTTAAATGGCAGCGTATGACGGCGGTGCTGTGCACCAGCAGAACTGCCTGCCTGCTCACCCCTGCTGCCATCGGGGCCTGCAGGACCGACAACCTGTTTCAGAGCCTTGAGGAGCGCACATTGACGGAGGAGGAGCAAAGGATCATTGAGCAGCGGGTGCGGCCCGTGCCTGCATCACTCCGTCTGGCCCCAGCTGTCGCGCTCTGCAACTGGCGGCTCAGCACTGCAGCATTCTAAAACTCTCTTGGGGTGCGGCCCAGGCAGCCGCATCTTGTCAACTAACTTAGTTGCCCTGGCTATTGCAGGTGGCGCTGCAGCGTAAAATGTTTGAGGAGTACGAGAAGCGGGAGCGGAAGCGCAAAGTGGCGGAGCTGCAGGAGGTGTGTCCTGACATCAGCCCGGAGGAGGCAGAACAAGCGCTGGAGATGTGCGATGGCAGGTGAGTTATGGTTTATTCGCCGCATTTTGTGATGCAGGAGATTTAGGTTCCGGGATGCGGTAGAGGTTCAGCGGGCGACATGGGACAGGCTCCAAACTGCAGTGCCAAAAGTGCGTATGCAATACTGCAGGGAGGACGATGCGGCGGCACAGCTGGTTTCAGATTCTGCCTTCACGCGGCGGGTCAAGGTGGCGTGCGGGCTGATCACTGCACCTGCCGTTGCAGCTGCACCGGCACCGCGCAAGGAGCCCAGTTTAAGTGTGTTGTGCTGCCTGCCTGCGGCCCGGCAAATCATTTAGTAGGTGGAAGGAAACTCAGACTGGTTGATGTGTCCATCCCAAACAGCTCCCTGAATGCCGGAAGGCCTTGTGGTGTTATTCTGTTATAATGTAGGCCGCCAGAGCAACCGGCACACCAAGGCCACAGGGCCTCGCCCAAAGCTCATCGACCCCGCAACGCTGGGGGGCAATGTAGGCATCAGTGTGCTACTGTCTTGCAATGATGCCTGTGTGGCAGTACAGCTGCAGCAGACCCGCAGACACCTTGCAAGTACTTCATCTGCCTTGCCTGCAGGTGTTTGTGGGCGCATTCAGGGGTAAGGGCTTCAAGCCCCCCCCGAAGGGGCGGCCGCAACTTAAGAAGCCAGGTGGCTCACGTTGTATGGAGCAGCATCAGCACGATGAGCAAGATGAGCAGGTGCAGGAAGATGAAGAGACTGAGACGGAGGGGAAAGAGCAGTCTGAAGAAGAGGAGGAGCAGGGCACTGCCTCGCAGCAGACGGTGGAACGACAGCAGCTGGAGACAATCGAGGGGATCGAGCAGCAGCACAAGCAGCCAAGTGCATTGGACGGAGCAGGAGCAGAGGGGCAGCAGCAGCAGGGTGTGCTACTTTGGCCATCCGCAGCGGGCGCAGCAGGGAGCACAGGGGAGGGATTCCAGAGGTGAGCCACTGAAGTTCTGCCGTTTGCTATCAGATAGGTTAATAAACGGGTTCTTGCCTTTGTTTACAACCTTCTAAGCTGCTCTCCTGGCCTGCTGCCTTGCCTGCAGGTATGTGCTGGTGCAAGCAGACACGCTGCAGGCTCCCACCGACTCAGCCCTGCGCGCCGCACGTCGCCAGCTGGGCGAGCCGTCAGATTCCAGGACTGGCGCTGGCCCTGCGGGCGATGCAGAGGACCCTGCACCAGCCTCTGCTGCCCGTTCTCGCCCGCTGAAGGCAGTGCCAGAAGAGCCAGGCGAGGGAGTGCCTGAAGAGGGGACAGCAATGCCAAGTGCGACCATGCTGGCGGCCCTGTCAAAGCAGCTTGCCAAGCTGGTGAGCTCCACGACAGCCTGCTAAGCCAAGCATTGTGTGGATCAGTGCTTGGGACTCATCCTGCAAGCTCCATTGACTACAGCCATGCAAAGCAGCTCGCTCTGCCGCTTGCTTGCGCCTTTTACCCGCCCCTGCTCCCGCGCTTCTTTCCATCAATGCCGGCAGGATGATGTCAAGGCCATGGCGCTGTTGCAGCGCATGCCCACCGACGCTGCTCGGGCGGCGTTGCTGCAGCAGTTAGGCCACGTTGACGCTGCGCGTGCTTCGGCGTGCCGTGCACTGCTGGCAGCAGATGCCACAGCTGTGGCATCGGATCTCGCCGATGCCGACATGGCAGAGGCAGGAGTGGGCGACAAGGAGCAGCAGGAAGCTCGCGTAGAGCAGCCGGCAGCTGCCATGGCAATGCAGCGCGGCAGCAGCATGTGGGCAAGAGCAGGGGCTCGCCGAGCAACCAAACGGGCTGCCTCGGCGGCGCTGTCAGATGATGATGAGGAGACGGACGTGGAGGAGTTAGAAGTGTCCAGGTGGGGGGGGATTGCGGGACGAGAGCATGCAGGCCTCCAGGTTGAAAGCAGGTACCAGCTTTAATTGTGTTACTTTGTGCGAGCACTCCTGGGCATACGCAGAATTTTGAGCACCAGCTTTGACTGGTAGCCGCACTGAACAAGGGGCACCTGCTGCACCCTGCTGCACTGTAGTGAAGAGGAGGGAAGCAGCGATGACGACTTTTCGGTTCCGCCACCATCATCCCGACGCAATGGCAAGGTGAGCCAACTGGCCAGCTGTACCTCTGGCATTGATATGATGGGGTAGGCAAGCGCAGCAGCGCCACAGATGCTGCCCATTTCGCTGGTACATGTGCGTGCAGGCTTATGCACAGCAGGCCAAGGCACGTGCTCGCCCCAGCCGCGCCGCTAAGCAAGCTGCTGCTGCTGCATTTGTGGCTTATGCTGAGGACTCCGGGGATGAGGGTAGTGATGCGGGGATGGCAGCGTCATCGGGTGACAATGCCAATCTGGTGCAGCGCCGGCATCGGCGTAGGGCATCCAAGGCCAGCGGTGGCGGCAGGCGGGCCAAACCCACCTTGGCATCTGCTGCTGTAGAGGCGTTGGAGGAGCAGGCTGCCGGGCCTGCCAAAGATGTGCCTGCCAACAAGCGGCAGAGGCTTGAGCAGAGCGATGCGGTGCCTGCCGCAGCAAACGCGCAATCCTCCGCATTGGGAGCAGCAGAGCAGGCCCCCTTGCAGCAGGGCGGCAGAAGACCCATCACGCAGCAGGATGAGGAACACCAGCAGCGGGCATCTCGCAGGGCATCTGGCGATGCAGAGGTGTGCAGCTTGCCACCTCTCCATTGCTCTGGGCTTGCGTGCCTGTCGTGCTCGCGTGGCTCCACCTTGCGCCCTCTCGCCTGGCTGTGCCTTCCGTACTTTGCATCAACTCACTGGCGCCACTTGCTGCTGCTTGCGACAGGCAAACGATGGCGACGATGGGCGGCATGCAGCAGCGCCTGCGCCGCCACGTGTGCGTGCCATCTCCAGCACCGGCCATACCTGCAGAGGGCGGGTGAAGCAGAAGAGCCACAAGGCTGCAGACCTGGTGGAGGCAGGGGCGCTGAGGTGCTTGGCTGGCTTGTTTCAGGGTGCCTGGTGGCACTTCTGGCAGCTGTGGTGGGCTGGCTTGCTCCACGCACCATGCTCATTTGCACTATGCCGCCTGCCTGCCTGGGTGGGCGCATTGCACTCTCACTCATAAGTACTCCCACTGATGGGCTGCAGGGCGGAGAAGGGCTGGTACAACGCGGGCTATATTTTCCCCCAGGGCTTCCAGTCCCGTACCCTCTTCCGCTCCAGGTGGGCAGGTGTAGTGATGTTGGCTCAGCACTTGGCGGGAGGCAAGAACTGAAATTCCTGCTGTTCCTCTGGGCCTGCTGATACCTCCGCAGTGTGGCCATTGACCAGCTGTGCGTGCACGAGTGCCACATTATCGGCAAGGGGGGCCAGTATTGGCCGCAGCCCACATTTAAGGTGCGGTGTGCGACTGCAGGCAGGGATTTTCGGTGGGGTTGGGCACAGTGCCCGCATGAATCCTGGGGTGATGGATGCTCTCATGCTGCACAGCACAGCAGAGGGCGTGTTGACACACCTACCCCTCTTCTCCCCTGCAGGTGGTGGCACTGGACCGCCCCGATGAGCCGCTCATTGCCAAAAGCTGCACTGGCTGCTGGACAGGGGTGGGCAGCGGCACTGACCCACCTGTCTAGCCCTCACCACATGCCATTCAGAAAGCGTTGCTCTGAGCTTGCTTCCCCATTGCTAAGTTGTGTTGCCCTCCACCGCAGCATGCTGCATTTACACCTCACATACTGTTGCTGCAGATTTTGAAGCGCATCAATGCGGAGATTGATGCGCGGCGCAAGGCGGGCGAGGATCTTCCTCCACCGCCCAAGACTGCCATTGCGGGGCCCGAGTACTTTGGGTTCAACCAACCAAACGTGAGAAAGTGCAGGAGCGGGCCGGTAGGGAGGGAAGCTGTGGTAATACAATCGAATTAAAATCATTTGCCCATCGCCAGATATCTGTCCATGCGTAAGAGTTAACCGCCTGCCTTCTGGAGCACACTGTGGATTGACTTTATGTCTGACCCGGCTGGCTGGCTGCAGATACAGGAGGCTGTAGAGGCTCTGGACCCGAACCACCTTTGCACCGAATACTGGGCAGGCAAACAGGATCGACAGCGAGCAGCGGCAGGACTGCCCATGGCCGCTTCTGCACCTGCGCGTGCGCCCCGCGCTCCCAGGTGAGGCAAGCAAGCGGGCGACCAGCGGAGGAATGGCCGCTGTATGAAATCTGAGATGTCAGACAAAACCTGGAGCACCGGTGGAATGGTGGTGCTTAAGGGTTGGAATTGTAAACGAAATTGCACACCTGTCCCCGTCGCTGTCGCTGCTGCTGCAGGCAGCCCAGCAATGGCGGCAGCAGGCGCTCTGGCGGCGGCAGCAAGGGGCGCACGCGATGGCATGGCAGCAGCGACAGTGATGAGCTGGCTGACGGCGATGAGGACGAGACGCAGTTCATGACCAACAAGTGCGATGGCAGCATGCTTGGGGATCGGAGTGGTTGAAAGTTTGTATTTCTGGTGGATTAGGTAGGTCATCAGGCAGGCCACATCTGCCTGTACTCACTTCCCACACTACTGCGTGCTGTGCAGGTGGAGTGCTGTGAGCCGTGCGGATCGCTATCGCAAGCGGCTACAGGACAATGGGGAGGACACATCAGTGCTGGGTACGCCCTGCTGCTGCCGCTAACTATGCTCCTCTGCAATGCATATGACCCGTCTAGGCCGCCGCAAGGCAGAAGCAGAAGCAGGCCCTTATACAGCGTGCCGCTCATCCTTACAACCCTGAACTGCAGACAAGGACAACCCACTACCGCATTTCATCGACCCCATCACCATGAGCGCTGTGGTGCGCCCCGCCATCTCGCCCCTTGGATACGTGGCTGGGCTGGCCACCTGGAAGGTGTGCTTGGGCTGGCATGTGGTACCAAGCCTAATGCATGGCGCAGCAGCTGCAATCGCCAACATGCAGCTTCTTTTTGCACATGCTACGCCTGCTGTTCTGCTGCTGGGCTGACTCTCACTTTGCCTCCCACCCACTCATCCCTCACCCACCTGCACACCAACTCCCCATTGCGCAGGTAGTGCTGGCGGAGAAGCAGCAGTGCCCATTCACCAACCAGCCGCTCCAGTTTGAGCAGCTCAAGCTGCTTACGAAGACTAACATCCATCTGCACCGCGCTAAGATTGTCAATGGCCAAACAGGAGGAGCGTGCGGACCGAACTAGCAGGGGCATTGGGTAGGCTGATGGGGACGCCTGCTGCAGCAGTGATTTCTGGTTGGCTTGCCCATTGATCTTACAACATGCCCACTAGTCATTGTCATACAACATGTACACTCAGGATTATCGCAGAATTGGAATGCCCAGGTTGGTCGCAAAGGCAGTCAGCCAAAGCGTGACGGGGATGGCGGCGTAGCAATAATGTTTCAATAGCATCCGGGCGAACCCGGGCGCCAGTGCCTGTGTGCGCTCTGAAAGTTGTAGGAGGATGATAAGGTTCTGCGGCAGGAGGGGTTAAACATGCCTGAAAGGAGGCAACTTGCACGCCAGATTCAAACCAGAAGCGCACGCATGCCAGGGGCTCAAGTACACCAAAGCAGGCCTCACCTGGGCGCTGGGCATGCAGGCCTCCATCAGCAGCACAAACAGCAGCACCGGATCTGCCAGCACTGGAGGCAGCAGCCCGCCTGCAGAATGAAAACCCAGAGGACCCAGTCATCCATCGGGCAGTTTTTGAGAAAGTTGTGTCCCAGCTGGGAAGCACGTTGCCAACCCACCTGCTACCAGCGCTTGCAAGGCACCCACGGTTGCCAGAGGCACCAGAAGAAAGCGGGTAAGGGCAAGGATGGCCAGCGCCCGCCCTTCTGCCGAGTCAGCAGGCAGCAACTGCTTCAGCGCACCCAGCCAGCCGCGGCGGTGCCGAGCACCCGCTGCTGCCGCAGTGGCGACCGAGGCTGGCCCCACACTGGCTGCTGCCACTCGCGCCTCAGGTTGCTGCAGCAGCGACGCCCCCAGCGCCAGTGTCTGGATGGCTAGTGTTCCCTGTGCCAGCAGCTCAACAACCTACAATTGCCAGTGGCAGCGGCAGCCCGCCACACAGATAACTCGTGGACTAGCCACTGGTACCAGGGGCACACAGACGGCCAATGCTCCAGGCATCACAAGACAAGCAATTGGACAAGGCGGCCAAGAGATCAGCACACGGCCACCGTGTTTCTGCGGCCCCACCTCAAGCGCCACCCTGGCACAGGCCTGCAGCAGGCCAAGCTCTGGCGGCAATGCCGCAACTGATGCGGCTCCTGCACCTGCCGACACGCCCGGCGAGCTTGAGGCTGCTATGAGCAACCTGCCAGCGGGCGTCAGGCCCACCAGCATGCCAAAAAGTATTGCGACCACTGGCGGGTTCAGCACCTGCATCCAGAAAAGTCCAAGACATCAAGATGGTACCCATGCAGGGCCCGGCTCGGGAGTCAATGCAAGAGAGACGGAGATAAATAACAGCAGCTGCGCCTGCACTCACTTGCGCTGCAAACTGACAGAGCTTGGCCGTGGTGGGATGCACAGCTAGCTTCTCTGCCCAGCCGGGGGGCTCTGGCAGGGCCAGTTTGTCGTCCTTGCCAGTGCTGTTGCTCTGGGCTGTGAGGGGTGTGATGTCCACCACTCGCGGCTCTCGCCAATACAGCGGCCTGCGAGCTACCGTCTCGTCAGCCTGCTGCAGGTGCTCCTGCCTGCTAGCACCCAAAGCCTGCCCGCCACCACCATTGCCCAGCTGCGGAGCCCGCAAAGCCTGCCCCTGTTGCCCACTGACGAGAGCCAGTCCTATACTCCACAGGCAGGGCGACCAGGCGAGCAGGAACAGCGCTGCATAGCCCAGTGCCCGATCAGCCACTGCCTTTGGGAGCAGCGTCGTCAGGAAGACAGCGGGCAGGGCGAACGAATTGCCAAAGGCTGCAGAGGCTGGGACCGCCAGGGCTGCTGGGCCTGCAGTTGGAAGGCATTTTGCCCTTGCTGATTCATCGATTTCTGTTCTGGTGCTGACTTGATTTGGAAGAAAAACCATGCAGCTGGATCCCACGATGGGGCACACCTCATGCACCTGCTGATGCAGAGCTCAGGCGGCTGCCCACTCAGTGCTCACTTGCCATCCACCCACAGCACCCCCCCCCGACCCCCACCACCCCCACCCCCCACACACACGCACACCACACCACACCACACCACACCACACCACACCACACCACACCACACCACACCCAACCCAACCACAGCACCCACCTGCCGGGGGGCCTGGCGGCCTTGGCCGCAAGGCTGCCGCTGCGCTTGGCGCTCCTGATGCCGTAGAGAGGCTCATGGCGATAGCGGAGGCTGCCGATGGCGAGGTACGACCCTGCCAGCCGCCACCTTTGCTACCATCGCGCTGTTGCTGCTGTGCTTCCGTGTGCAGCCCCAGCAGTGATGTCAACGCCAGGCCGCATGCTGCGCCAATGCAAATTTGGATAACCGCAGCGGCGGCGATGCCCAGCAGCAATGTGGAGTCTGGCTGGGCTGCAAGCGTGGAGGCCACCTTGGTGAAGAGCATGGCTGGGATCAGAATCTCGAAAGAGACCTGCAGCCAGCAGGGCGGGGCACGATGATGCATTGCAGCAGCAGGGCAAGTTGGAATCCCCGGAAGAAGTGGCGGAGCAAGATCAGTCATGCGCAAAGCACAGACCTTGCTCAGCACGGTGGAGGTAGAGTTGGGGATGCGCCCAGAACGCAGCAGCCAGCCCACGGCGGCGCAGATGAGGAAGAGCTTGGCCGAGGCGTTGATTGTGGCCCCGAGCACTCCCAGATCAATGGCAGCCGCCAAAGAGCTACCAGCACTGGCGGCCAGGTCGGGCACCAGAGCCGCCACTTTGACGGCGGCGCCCAGCAGGTGCTGGGACACCGCAGTCGCCTTGGGGGCTGGCGCGGCGCGTCGCACCCACGTTAGCGGGCCAGGTAAAGGGGGGCGGGTGGGCAGGCGGCGGGGCAGCCCCAGCCTGCTAGCGGCGCACGGCGCAGATGCCAAGGCCCCCATTGCGCTTGCCATGATCGCTCAGCAGCCCAGGCGGGCCATACGTGGGAGATGGGGCGAAGCGCAAAGCTGTGACGCGCTTCACCTGCTTTGGCGCCACCAGGGTGCCAGCGAGGCAGTTGGTGCACGTGATGCCACAAGATTTTGCCCACACGGCTTGGCTGCTGCTGCTACCGCCGGTAGCAGGGAGGTCCTTTGCGTTGCACCCGGCGGCTCAATCCCGCTCCGCCAAAATGCTTGCAATGGCACCGTCGCTCAATTCCACTGTCTGATGACCGACCGAGACAGCGAGAACTGCCTTCGCATCAGCACCTCGTGGCGAGAGAGGTGCCATGCAGCACCCTCGCCAGGCTTGGAGGGCAACTCCTCAGGCCTCCAGGCCTCGCCGGGCAACCCCTACGGCGGTAGGTGACCTGCCGACAGGCGCTGGGGCGCTGGGACCTGCACGTGCTGAGTTGCGCAGCATGGGCAGCAGCGTGCCGCCTCCCTTTTGCTTTCACAAATGCCGAGGCTTATGCCAAGTGCGCTCATTTGTCTTTGCCAGTGCAGGTCAAACCCAGTGGAGGCAGCAGCACCAAGGTGGTGCACAGCCCTGTCCACCCAGACACACCTGCTCCAGTGGCACCCACTGCCGCCACGCCCGTTGCCCCTGCCTCCGACCTAAAGACACGCCAGCTCCGCCTGCTACCCTGGCAGACCAGCGCCAGCGTGACGGCCCCCGGGCAGGGCACCGTGGGTGCTAGCAACGACCCAAACAATGGCGACGGCAACGCTGCTGCTGCCGAGCCTGTGTCGGGTGTGCCAGCGGCTGGCCCCACCTCGGCCCAGAGCGTCAGTGGTGCCAGCAGCAGGACGCGCCTACAGCGCCGACGTACTGCTGCAGCCGCAGGCGGCGCTTCTGCACCCAGCAGTAATGCACCCAGCAGCAGAGCCGATGGCGGCGCCGGCAGCGTACAGGTTGCCCCGGCTGCCGCTGTGTGTGAAGCATGTGGCGGCAAGCGTTTTGTGTTGTCCAGCCGTGGCAAGCAGCCCTGCCAGGCCTGCCAGCAATGGCGCCAACGCCCAGACTACCATCCTGGCGGGCCGCTGCTGACGCTGCAAGATGTCAACCTGGCAGCACTAGACAGTGTCGCACGTAGTAGCAGCAGCGGCAGTGAGGGGGAGGGAGGCGAGGGCGTGAGCAGCACCGGCAGCACCACACGGCGGCGGCGCAAGACTGGGCCCATGAGCGAGCAGCGTCGGCAAGCCATTAGCCGCGCATTGCAGAGCAAGGGTGCCAAATCGGCTGAGCACAAGCGGTGGGTTGGAGGAGGCAATGCGTGGCGGGGCACTGCTGGTGGCTCTGCCGCGTTTAAGGGGAGGGAAATGTGTGGGCTGAGATGCTGCGTCTGCCCGGCCCTGTGCTGGTGTGCTGCAGGAGCATTTCCCGGGCTATGCGAGAAGCGCATGCCCGCAACCCGCAGCTGCGGCGCTCCGCAGTGGGGCTGAAAAAGCGGTGTGGGCACTGCGGGCAAGAAGGACACAACCGCAAGACCTGCCCGCAGCTGGTGGATACTGCTGCGGGAGCCGGCGGTGCTGCTAATGTGACCAGGGCAGCCGCAGTTACCCCTGCCGCGGCGGCACCGGCCAGCAAGGTGATTGTGATTGAGGAGGTGGATGAGAAACCCCTGGCTTCAGAGCCAGCATTGTCCAACGGCATCAGCAACGACACCAGCGTCAAGGCCCTTGGAGGTGGCAGCAGCTTGGCAGCTATGCCTGACTCTCCTGCTGATGCAGCGGCAGCAGCACCAAGCAGCAGTGCTGTCAGCAGCAACGAGCGAAGCCAGGCATCACCGGCCGCCGTTGGAGCGGTACCACCAGCGCTGCCACATGCATCGGTCGCTCCCCTGCTGCCACCAGTGCCCTATAATGATTTGCTGCCCACGCGGCAGCTGGCTCCTGGCATGGCCTTGAGTCCTGAAGGCGGATGGATTTTTCTGCTGCCAAGGAGCAAGGAGGAGTGCGTGACGCAGGCAGCGCAGGTGTGGGGGCTGCCAACTCTGTTTGATTTCCTGACGTGATGTAGTGCTAAGAGCGTGGTGGTGGGCACTGTATAATACCTGAATTTCTGAATACCACCTGTGTTGCACTTGCAGGCAGTGCTGCGGGCATGGGACGACGGCATGCGGCGCCACACGGTGGAGCTGCTGCTGCCACAGGCGGACCCATCTGCAGATGGCGGGTGGCCAGGCGGCATCCGGCAGCAGTTCAGGTGAGCTGATGGGCCGCTTGCTTTTTGTTACCATGGCCATCTCTCAACTCCTTTGCATTGCTCATGCTGAGATTATGCTGGCCCACAATTGCATACGCACTCTCTTGGGATGCAGGGTGGCCAAGCCCATGGTTGAGTCATTACTGCTGCGGCTGAAGCAGCATGAGGGCCTGGGCGGCCGCATCACGGCAGAGCTGTTGGACGAGGGAGACTGTGTGGGTGAGCGCGTCGAGAGGGAGTGGAGCATGGTGTGTGTGGGGGGTGGGGGTGGGGTGGGGGGTGGGGGGTGGGGGCGGGCGCGGCGCACAGCAGGTAGCTGCGGGGCAAGCGCACAGTTCAGATGTGGAATAGACGCAGCAGAGAAACAGACGCAGCAGAGAAACAGACATGCGATGCTCAGACATGTTGTGCTCGCCGACTCCCGTGCTCTTGGGAACTTGGTGCAGGCGCGTGGCAGAGCGAGCGGCTGGGAGCTGTCCTGTTTCCCACCGCGGATACACTGCCAGACCTGCGCCGCATTGATGATGCTCTTAGGTGAATTGGTCTGCTTGATGGTGTTGAATGAGCCAGGCCTGGGCCTGGCGGCATGTGGTGGTGCCCGGGGCAGAGGACACGCACCCTCTCAAGCTGCACCAGCAAACCGTTGGCGGAACCGTAGCTCCTATGGTGCACCTGCAGTGGCGAGCGGCTGACGCTGGTGATCAACCCACAATGGCAGATACAGGGCCAGGTCATTTCAGGTGGGAGTACAACGTCGGAGAGGCAGTGGTTGCCTGGCGAGTATATCAGCAATAAGGTGCTGCCACAGGTTATAGCTGGCCCCCATTGCCACTCCTGCATGCGCCACCCACTTTTCAGACTTTGGCATCGGCCGCACGCGCAAAGTGGCTGAACGCTTTGTGGCGGCATTCGAGGAAGTTTACTATCTTCGGTGAGGAGCTGGGGCATGTGTTTTGTGGTTGTGGTGCGTGCGTGGTGGTGGTGATAGTGGGGAATGGCTGAGTTGTAGAAGTATAATTGAACTGCCTGGACAGCAACCGCCCCTGGTTTGCTTCCCCTGGCACAGGCGGGTACGAGTCTTCGGGGACGACGTGCGTATCATGCGGTGCTACCCGGGACAGTGGCAGGTAAGGCGTGCGCATAACAGTGGCAGCCGCAGCATGCGGGCGGTAGATTGGACCGGATGCCTTGCCTTGAGCTTGCACCCGTTGCTTGTAGATGCGGCCTACCTTGCCACCTTTGCCTCGGCATTTGCCGCAGGTGCACTATGTACCCTCCGACCCACGTGCGAATACAGTACTGCTGAGCTGCGAGGATGCCAAGCCCACGTTCCAACGCCTCATCCAGTTGCTCAAGGCGGTGCGCGGGTCCAGGTGAGGCAGATGGACAGCAAGCATTACACAGCAGATAAAGCAAGTCGGCAGTTATGCTAACATTCCAGTTCGGCTTACTCCGTGTGCTTGTCGGGATGTTGGAACACAATGCTGTAGGGCCAGCAAGACGTGGCTGGATCGTGTGCTCACCGCCTCCATGGGCAGCTTCAACGAGTTTGCTGCCTACTCACCAGAAGCTGCTGCGGCAGCCGCAGCTGCTGTGGCAGGCGACGATGATTCTGTTGATGGCAGGGCCAGCACCGGCGGGCTGGCCTCATCAACAGAGGGACTACAGCAGCAACCAGGGCAGGAAGAGCAGATTGCAGGCACGAATTTGCAGCGCGACATTGTGACAGGAGAGCTGCTTCCCTCTGACGACGACGAGACCCCTGTGCGAGACATCCGCCTCGATCCACTGCACGGCGTGAAGCAGATCACCAAGTGGTTGCCCTAAGTCAAGGATTCATTTCATACCAGTGTGCATTATTAAGCTTCATCCCCTTGACAGTGTAATATATGTAGATGGATATGATCTGCCAAACATTACTTGGATATTTTTACGTTTGGGTCAAAACCGTGTGACCCTAACATTTTCTCTGAAAATCGTACCCGCATACCGTCACATGACATTTTAGTGGTGGTCTGGGAACGCCCTCTTTGATGGGCACTGGGGGGGGGGGTCGACCCTGCTGATTCCTATTCTGCAGTT